TTAATGAAGCATTAGGGGGCTTAAGGCATGAGGGTGTTGATGTAGGTCCGTCACAAGTAGTCGGAGAAGAAGAAATGATACATGATATGCCCACTTCAAATAAGCTCTACATTCTTAGAACTATATCGCTGTTTTTTTTTTTTTTTTGGAGAAAGACAACTATATCTCTATTTTGTCTTTGAACTTTATACTTGCATTTAATAGACATGCTAACCAATATTTTATTCTTGAAGACCAAGTTCTTCTTTAAGACAACCGAGTCAGTTGCACGACAACATGTTTATAAATCTATTAGAAAGAAATGGGCTGCAAATAGGCTTAACTTGTGGAGTGCATCTGAAGACCCACTTAAAAGTAGAGCTGAGATTATTGATAATGTGCCAGATGGAGTTCCGCCGGATCAATGGTTTTATTTTGTTGATTACCAATATAAAGATTCAACAAAGGTACTTATGTAACTGCTTCTACTAGTCTTTATAATTATATTATTGTTTGTTCTTCTAATTGAGTTTCAAGTATATTTTTATAAGGAAATGCGTAAAAGAAATACTGAAAATAGAAAAAAATAGACGATTCCATACACAGGTGGTTCCAAAGCCAACGCTACGAGAAGGGCTGAAATGGTGAGTAAATTAACTTACTATGTAATTATTTCTAAGTAGTAACTAATTATGATTTGATTTTTTTATTTATAGATGGCTCAGACTGGACAAATGCCCGGACGAGCACAAATATACATTGCTACTCATAAGTATGAAGATGGAGTATATGTTAATGAAGAAGCAAAAGAAATATGCGTAAGTTTTTGTGAATTCTTAGCTTATCTTAAGAAACAAATGTGGAGGACTATTTAAGCCTTCAATGCCATCAACTGTTCTGGCATATTTAAGCCTCTCTTCAGTTGGAAGAGCAAAGAACTATTTTCTTCAAAGGATGGCAAGCTGTTGGTATAACATCTTTTTGTCTATCTATACTACTATATGTTTCTTTAAATAATTAAAAAAATAAGATCATATTTGAATGTTTGTATAAAAATTACTGCCAATATTTTGGATTGTTCTTGTTCTTTCTCTGGATTTTCCCGGTTCCTTTTTTTCTTTTTGTTGGGCTGCTTCAGTTTGGGAATTTATTGGATTTTTTTTAGTAGCCTGTAATTGGAATTATTGGATTTATTAGCTATATTGTCTTAAACTTTGTTGGGGAGAGAGGACAGAGGAGTGATACCAAATTATTGGCAATTTGTTTCTCTTTTTGATATTAATCTTTGCCTTGAAGCTCGGATGTTTTAGAGCTTTCTTTGTGTGCGTGTGTGTTTCATGTATAAGTGTATTTTAGTGGTGGCAATAGACAAGATTCCAGTGGAACTTTGTTGAAGTAATTTGCCAATACTGTTAGAGGAGCTTTTTTGAGGCATAATTGGTATTCACAAAGTGTAGCTTGCAACGGTCAATGCGAGCTCAACTTGCATACTATGCTATAGCCTAGAGGCACCGGTAAAAACCTGATCATGGTGAACAAAGCTTTGGTAATTGTATTGACTACTTGCCTCTCTTCAATGCCAAGGTTTATATGGTTCTGTGGATTAAGATATGTATATTTTGACACTAGACAAATGCATTCCTGTTGGTTTAGTTGTGACAATGAGTTTTGTATGTGTAGGAAAAAATTGATATAGTCGACCCTGACTTGCTGAGGCATAGGATAAGTTGTATATGTTCTCTCCTTGGCAGGTTTTGAAGCCTGGCTTCTCTGATTGTTCCTTTAGATCATATACTAGTCGAAAGCATTAAAGGAAATGATCTATCTCTGTCTAGGTCAAAGTATTACATAAAGAAGCTGCTACCATATATATATATATATATGTGGTATGTGCAATTTCATGAGTCCTCAACACTTGGGGTCTGCTGCTGTCTGTCCGATGACTATACAATTGTTATTTGCTTCTTCACATGGCTGGCAAAAAAAAAAAAAAAAGATGCCCAAATCTGCAATTTTGATAAATGTTTCAAGTTTAGTTGTAAACTTCGGATCTGAGGAAATATATAAATTTATTTTTCGTGAAAGTCAAGTTTGTTCAAGAATACTCACCTGCAGTGCACGCCGTATTATTTTCTGGATTCAGGAGAGAGTTGCATATTATTGGATATGTTATTACTGGCAAAATGATTGCATGCATTATATGTTGTGAAATCTTCCCATGATAGTGCCATCCCACTTTTTAACAAAATAATGTTTTTTTCATATCTAGTAAGAACGGTATACATCAATATGATCCGATTATGTCCCCCAACAAAGTTGTAAGGTGCGTTCAGTGAGTCTTTTAAAAAGTATTATTCTTGTTTTCTTTTGTTAATTGATCTCATACAATTCTTGGACAATCTGAATAGCTTTCCCAAAGCAAGTGCTCATGTGGAAACAATCTTTCTTTGTCACTATTGGTGGTTCATTCAAGAGAATTTAACGTAATGCAGAGAAAAGCTTTGGTAATGGTATTGACTACTTGCCTCTCTTCAATGCCCAGGTTTATATGGTTCTGTGGATTAAGATATGTATATTTTGACACCAGACAAATGCATTCCTGTTGGTTCAGTTGTGACAATGAGTTTTGTATGTGTAGGAAAAAATTGAGTTAGCTTTGAGCCAAAGCATCATAGATGAGTCTTAAATTTCGCCAAATGATGTCGTTGGTAAGGTGCTAGGAAAAGAGCACTCTGGAAGGGTGAGGTGTTTGGGATTAGGCCCTATCCCTAGTAGAGTTTTTAAACAAGTAAGACCTCGTTTTGGTGGTACAAGTTCTTCAAGTACTGAAGGTTCATGTTCGTCCCAATGTCAACATAACCATAATCAAATGATGAATGCTCACAATCAAATGATGAACGCTTTCAAGGCATATATGATAATGAAAGAAGGGACTATACCAGAACAGTTTGCAGGGTTCTTTGCTTCTCCTTCGACGGTTTCTCCTCCAACGGTAAGTAAAGTTCTTCAATTTTTTCACTTTAATTTGTCTATTTGCAAAGATAAAGTGGCTTAGATTAGTACTATTCTTGTATGTTGTATTTGTTTTCTTTGAATAACTCCTCTCTCTCTCTCTATTATATTTTTCTTTCTGATTCTAGCATGAATTAGCCTCACTTTCTAATGGGATGCACAAACATCTTTTTTCTTCGGCCAATAAAAAAAAAGGCTGCAATGTTGATCTAAATTTGAGTTTTAAGTACAAAGGAAGCTTGAAGAGTTACACTTATTTGCTTACAGTATTTAGTAGAACCTAGAGTTACTGCAATTTCTGATTTTGGCATGATTTTTATAGTTTATTTTTTTTATGCAGCCAAGTGATGCGGACAGTGGACCCCTTTCACCAATGGACGCAAGAAGATCATGCGGTGATAGTAATTCTAGTGGAAACCGTTGATTACATTGCAATTGCTTTTAGATAATTAATTGTGACGATGTAATTGTGTGGTTGAAGCAGATGTTAGAATGTTGGAGTGAATGTTTTGTGTTTAAAATAGTTTTTGAGTGATGCTACTTAATGTTGACAATTTAGTTTTAAAGACTAATGATTATTTTATGTATTAACGTTTTGTGTATTTTATGTATATTGTTATTGTATTATTTACTTTTNTTTGAGTGATGCTACTTAATGTTGACAATTTAGTTTTAAAGACTAATGATATTTTATGATAACGTTTTGTGATTTTATGATATGTTATTGATATCTTTTAACTTTAAAATAATTTTTTTAGCTTTGATTATGATTTACAGCTTAATTAGTAATTTGTCAATAATATATGAATTAAAAAATTCAATAAATTATTGAGATTATGACTGACAGGAGCTTTAAATATATGCTAATAAAAAAAAATTATATTGCGGAGGTTTAAAATCGCCGCGATTCGTAACTGAAAATTATTTTAAAAAGATTTAACTTTGAGATCTGCGGGGCTCAACCGCCGCGAAGTAACTTCCGCTACTTAGTTCTGGCGGTCTGCAAAAAACTGCCGCAACTCGATTGCGACGACCCTTATTGTGGGGGTTTTAACGACTACCGCAATAACATATTGCGGGGGTTTTAAACCGCCGCAAACCTTAAAAATAACCCCCGCAATTAGGCCCATTTTTTGTAGTGATCTTTTGAATCAAGTAAGTTCATTGCTTAGTACTTCCGTATTTTGCTACATAATTTAAAATTAGCATGTTGGGTTCTTTATTGTTGTGTTAATTAGTAGTAATTTTGTTGCTCAAGACATATTGTATTGATATCCATGCCTATATAAATAAATTATTGTATTCAGGCAATATTGATGCATCAAAGAATTATTCGACAAATTTTCTTGGTATTATATTTTCTTCTGAGTTATGACGGGGTTCAAGGAAAAACAAAGCAATCTAAATTAGAGGAATCAGAGCTGGAGAAGCAACTTAAACTCTTCAACAGACCATCAGTCAAAACAATTAAGGTATATATATATTTTGGGCAAAAAGCCATTGTATTCATAAGTCTTGTGAGTGATTATTGTATTCATGTGCTAATATCACTTGTAATAAAACAATTATCCATCCATCCTATAGTTTTTGTTCACGAAGATTTTAAACTAATCTAGCTTAATTAGTGTAACCACTGATTCTTACATTTTATCTCTGAATAGTTAAAAAAAAAAAGAGGCATAACAATCACTTTGATAAATTATGTTATAATAATTTACAGGTTTTTCTTTCCCTTTTCTCTTGCGTAAATTTTTTATGCATAATTGAAGTTATATATAACAAGATAGTGTAACCAAGATTATTTATATCATGAAATTTTGGTTGTCAGAGTAAATATGGAGATACATACAATTGTGTGGATTTCTACAAATAACCAGCATTTGATCATCCTTTATTAAAGAATCACGACTTTCATCCTCAGGCATGCATCTACTCTTTCCACTTTACTTTTCAACATTGTAGCAAGGACATAGAACCGTTAACACACAATTTAAGTTTTCGATGGGTAGATGAAACCTAATTTTGCTAGGCCAAAGCAGAATTCAAGTACCTCTGAAATTAATTTGTCATCGAGGATATGGTCAGACGACGGTGGTTGTCCTTTTGGAACAGTTCCTATTAACCACACGTGCAAGTTTTCCTGCATGTGGCTCATCCGTGCTTTCCGAGGCGCTGCCGTGACTCAGAAAAGAATTACTAAAGAATATCTCGTTAGACAAAGAAATATGCCATCGCCAGAAGAAGTAACATATGACACTGAGTTGACTACTGTAAGATAACATTACATCAATTCAATATAATCACGATTTCACTCATAAAATCGATTATGTTAAGCATGACTAAATTTATAAAATTAGTTGATGTAAACAAATTAATATCTGTCCATCGTTGCAGCAAATCTCATACTACATTTTATTGTTTCCACACAGGCTAACAACAAAAGTGAGTCAAAAAGAAGATACATATCTTCGCAACGATACAAGGTACATAAATATACAAAATATGGAAAGTTTACATTAAGTGAATGTAAATAGGCTTGTTTCACTTTCTCTAACAATATGCAAAGATTTTCTAACTTGGGCTCTCCTTTTCCCACTTTTCTAATGCTCCTCATTTTTGTACACAAAATAACAAAAATACAATAAGCGAATGTAAATAGGTTTATTTTGATATACCCTTTCATCTCATGATTTAACAAATATTTTCATTCCTATATTCAGCTTGCAATAGTTCAAATTCTAAAAAATCCAAATAACAACTTTGCGGACGGTGGAATGTCAGCGAGTTTATATAATCCTCATGTCGAAGGTCAGCAACAGAGTGCATGTCGATTGAAAATTCAAAATGGGTCGGACATTATACAAGTTGGTTGGAGAGTATGTTTAACAACTTGTTCATTATAATAATTTAATTATTTTACTTGCAATAGCTCTATTTATTATAAATTTTAACTTTTACAAGGGCGAATAGGGTAAATGGAGATGAAAGGGGGAACGAGTGAGAATTGAATATTACTCATATTTTCTTGTTTCAGGTGGATCCAACTCTATATAGTGATAATAAGACTAGGCTTTTTGTGGATTTTCAAGTAAGTTGTCTTGTGTACTCTAATAACTTCTATTTTACTTTATGAGATTAATACCTCCTTTAGTCAGTAATTTATATCAATTGAAAAGAGTTCATTTGTATACTTTACTTTTACTAGGCTGGTAATACACATTGTTTGAATACATTATGCCCGGGATTTGTACTAGTAAGCAGTGTGATACCTGTCGATATGGCGTTCGATAAGATTTCACATCGTGTATATAACCCATGGGAGTTCAGAATGTACATAGATCGGGTGCATTTTATTTCTTTATGCAGAATTATTGCAAGTTTCCGGAAGCTACAAAATACTAATATAAACATTGCCTTCTGAAAAATTAAAAGGATCTAGCCAATGGAAACGGGTGGCTTTTAGCTGGAAAATACTATAAACAAATTGGTTTTTGGCCGCAAAAGCTTTTTACTAGCTTGGCAAGCTTTGCTGATAACGTTGAGTGGGGAGGAGTCACATATAGCCCACCAGGTGTGCCTAAACCTCCAATGGGCTCAAGCTATTTTCCTATCAGAAATATCGCTTATGATGCTTATTGTAGAAGGCTTATCATTTAAAGGACAAAGTGCCAACATGAATTTTAAAAATAGATCTTGAAAAGGCTTTTGATAGATTAGAGTTGTCCTTCATTAGGGATACCCTACATGCTTTCAACTTCCCTGTAGGGCTGTCTAAATTAATCATGTCATGCATCAGTACTTCCTCTATCCAAATCCTAGTTAATGGAGGGAAAACTGAAGAGTTCACTCCCTCAAGAGGTATCAGGCAAGGAGACCCTATGTCTCCTTACTTGTTCATTCTGTGTATGGAAAGGCTATCTAGAGCCACTGACAAAGCAGTCAGCCAAAACTTGTGGCACCCCATCAGCATAAGCAGAGCTGGCCCAAAGATCTCTCACCTTTTCTTTGCAGACGACCTCACCCTGTTTGCCAAAGGAAACATCAGGAACTGCAATACAATCCTAACCATATTGCAGAATTTCAATAGCCAGTCAGGTCAGAAAATCAACCTGACCAAATCAAGGGTCATCTTCTCCTCCAATACCACCCAGGACAATGCGCAGCATCTGTCTAATACCCTGTCAATCAATCAATCCTCATCCTTTGGTAAATACCTAGGTTTCCCAATTCTCCATAAAAGACAGAATGCTTCTGATTTCTAGTTCATTATTGACAACATGCACAACAAAATAGCAGGTTGGAAAACAAAGTTCCTCGACATGGCTAGTAGAACTGTTCTGATAAAAGCCACTCTAAGTAGCATCCCAAGCCATGTTATGCAGTTCATAACTCTCCCCATTAAGATAACCAAGGAGATAGATAGGATCCAGAGGAATTTCCTCTGGGGAACCACACAGGAGAAAAGGAAGATACACATGATTAGGTGGGAGGTTGTGACTAAAGCTAAAGTTGAGGGAGGGCTAGGGATACAAAAAGCAAGTGTCAAAAATAAAGCAGCATTGGCAAGCCTAGCTTGGGGAGCCTACACAAATACAAACACCCTCTGCGCTCGAGTCCTTATCCATAAAAATTGCAATATGTCTAGGCCTGCCAATGCTGGCAGGTATCATGGCAGCAGCAAAAGCCCTACCTGGAGGGCCATGCTTAGTGGTTGGGAAACATGCACCAAAGCTAGCAGATGGATTGTTAATAAAGGCAATAGAGTAAACTTCTTCAATGATACCTGGATCCCCAACCAACCTGCTAATAGGCATTTAGTAGAAGGTCCCTTAACCCAAAGTGACCTCCTTGTTAAGGTGGACTCAATATACAATAGGGGAGCATGGGACACAAGTTCCCTCTCCTTTGACCTGCCCCCTCACATCCATAACAGTATAAAATTAGTGTTCATCCCTAGTGTGACAACTAAGGAAGACACACTAGTTTGGGCTCTTACATCAAATGGAAAGTTCTCTCAGAGCTCTGCCTATTCCTTCATACACAACAGTGCACAATCTGGCCCTCAAGGTGATTCAGACCAATTCAAGTGGCTTTGGAAGATGCAAACTCCTAACAAGATAAAATTCTTTATATGGACCCTAACACACAGGAGACTCCCTACCAGGGCACTTCTCAGCTCTATGGGAATCAACTGTCCAACTCGTTGCCACTACTGCAATGCTGAGCAAGAGGATATTGAAAACATCTTCTTCCTATGCCCTAATGCTGCCCAATTTTGGAATGCAATCAGGTCCAAATCCACTTCCCCACCTCCCTCTAACCCACTAAACAACAGCCACCTTTGGCAGACAGTGTGGCAAGCCCTTAAAGGAGAGAAATTCAATGAATATCTCGACTGGGCAATTATTATTCCCTTTTGCCTCTGGCACATCTGGCTAACAAGGAACAATAATGTGTTCAACAATAAGAAAGACCCTATCAATGCCAGTAACACAATGGTCAAAGCCTCAGAATACCAACTACTCAAGTGCAACAGTAACACGCGTTGTACGCATCAAATAATGCTCAAATGGGAACCCCCACAAGAAGGCTGTTTCAAACTTAATACGGATGGTGCAGCTAAAGGCAAGAATGGAATAGGTGGGGCTGGGGGAATCCTCCGAAACCACAATGGTAGCTGGATGCTAGGCTACATGGAAAACATTCCTTATACATCCACCTTAGGAGCTGAATTCCGAGCACTCTTAAGAGGTCTCCAGCTAGCTGAACAAAACAAATTTTTGCCGCTACAAATTGACACAGACTCTTCAGAAATAATAGGTATGTTGGCAGAAGGTAATTTAATATTTGACCCTCTAATTTGTGAATGCAGGTTGTTGATCCAAAGGATGGGCAGCGTGGTGGTGAGACACTCGTTCAGGGAGCAAAACAGAGTTGCTGATGCACTGGCGAAGGAAGCAGCAAAAGAAACTTTTTTGAATAGATCTGCACTTTTGGCAGTTCCTCCGCTGTTTGCCAACGATATATATTGGGCAGACACCCTGGGAACTGAACTATCTAGAAAATTTTTGGTTTGTAATATTGACTCTATCTTGCAAAACATTGCAAACATGGGTACCCTAAGGTATCCAAGTAACTCTCATGTAACTGCGTTACCTTAACTAGTTTTAATATAGTCCATTTTGACCAAAAAAAAGAAGGCTTATCATTTTAAATGATAAATGCGAGACTTTTGATGTAGATAAGACTACCCCATATGTTGACGATCCTAATTTGTACCGTGTTAGCGATTATCCACTGGAAATTTCCAACATTTTGTACTTTATGGGGGACCTGGAGAGAGTCAACATGTCTAAATCTGGTTACTTACTATCATTATGATATTTACTTTCAATGTCAAAAAAAATAAAATATAATGAAGTATATTTTTGCTTGTCATATTTGGAAGAATGAACTTGATTTCTGACTCTTTTCCCTTTTATTGTAATTTGTTGGATTTAATTTGTCACAACTTTGTGCATTGTCAATTTGTGCATTACACTAAATAATAGTATATACTCTTCTAATGAGCATCGCTCATAAATTTTTCTAAGACCATAACTAAAGTGAACTAGATGTTATGGTTGCCTTTTTGGTTTCCAGTAACAGAATAGGTGTTGGATGATTTATATGGAACAAAATTGTGGAGTTTTAAAAGACAATTCATCTGAATTATTTCAACAAGCATTATTACAATGGAATTACTAATTAAGCCAAAAGATGGCTGTAATCACGACGACAAGCTGGACATGTCATTCGCCTAACCATCCATTTTACGGTACAATCGTGATTGTATAAATGATTACAGGGAAGGATTCGTACATGCTGAATCTGTTCAAACTCAGTTAAACAGATTTGGCAAGTACCATCGGTGAAGTTTATGTCGTCTTGTACTAGTAATAAATATTGCACAAATGGAAATCGAATGACTACTCGTTTGACAGCGGCATTGTGCCTAATATAATAGCATGCCGCCCTAACAACTATAAAAAGAAAAAAAATACAAGTATGACTACTCCCAACACGTTAAACTCTGTTGAAATGAGTCCAAGAACCTCCAATTCTTCTTCCTCTTTTGATGTGACGCGATGAATGCAAGAACAAATTGTTAAGATCTGTCACATTCAAAACAAGCAAAAGAAAATAAAAGATAAAATACAATTAGTTGTCATTTAAAGATATTTGCTTAAACAAAAGAATTAGGGTGAAAATCATTTTTCCTCCCGAAATTTACTTAAAAAATTAATCCCCTAACTTTCAACAATAGATATCTTCCCTCCCTTATATCAATATTCGGTCATTACCGGTAGGGGAGGGGGAGGGGAGGGGGAGGGGGCTTAGTTAATTACATATCTCTGTACGGGTAAAACCGAGCTCATGATACACCCCGGCTTCCGATAGGATAAATCGAGTTAGAGACACAAGGACAAGGAACCAGAATGAGGCAAGGGTCTCATTGAGTCAGAGTCCGGTGGCGTGACGCCCACCCTCGAGAATATTGGGGCCATGATCTGGAATCGGTCTAAATCCCAAAAGACTTCGGAGAACGTTGTCAGGCAACCAAGTACGGCCAGTAGAAGACCGTGATATCCGCGACCGGCCGGATATCACGTCGCGGATCTCGGCACGCATCGATACAGAATCGGTGATTAGTTAAACAGAAGATTTCTTACCTGTTATAGAATTGTATTTAGGGTAAAACTTCCCTACATATAAAGGGGAGTCTCATTATTTATAAGGGATATTGTAACACGCATACCAAAGCATTATACTATTATTTTTCTTCCATTCAAAGTTCTTGCGTTGTCGATTAGTGTTTCATTATTATAAGCCCGGGATCGAAGACGGTAACCGCATTGAGGCTGCCCTCGAGTCCGGAATCATCCCCCCCCCCCTTTTATTTTTCAAGCGGTTGGATAATTTATTATATCTTTTCTCTGTTTATTCTAGCGATCTTTGTCGTTTGTATTGAACAAATTCACATATCATTAAAACTACTTATAAATTTAATTGTTATCCGATTTTTAGGGTAAACGGTTTGGCGCCCACCGTGGGGCTAAGGATAATAGTGGCAATTTGCTACAAATTTTCGCAACACACTCTATTTCACACTTGTTTTTTGAAGTGTCTTTAATTTCAGGTCAGAATTTAAAATGTCGAACTCCCAATCTGTCCCTCCAAATATGGATGTTGAATCCAGCCACCATGGCGAGAACAACAATGTGGTACCCAGTAACGAGGTGCCCCCTGTTAATCCCAACGGAGTTCCGGCTGCGGATTCGATCGACGCCAACTCACATGTGGCAGTCAGTGCAAATTTTCCTACCGGTCCTGAGAACAGTGTCCGCGGGGAGTCCGATCGGTAGCCCAAAACACACGCGACGGTGAAGGAGATGGGATCAACTTAGGGGTGATCTTCGAAATGCTATAGGCTCAACAGGAAGCAATAGCCCAATTGCAGAACCAAAGCCGCGCTCCCAGTAGAGTTGAGCCCGAACCATCCCGGGAAAACACTCGTAGAAATGAACCAACCACAGATAGGCCAAGTGAAGCTGGATCCGGGACCAACCCTGAGATAATAAAGATGCTCGATGAATTGACAAAACGGGTAAAAACGA